CCCCCTTCACTCTCCCATATCTCTGTTTCCGTCCTTCCTGTCATTCCCTCCCTCTTTATAGTAGCTTAGAGATCTTCCACCAGGCCTCCCTCAACGGCCCCACACCCCCTAAACTTGTGGATAACCACTCCTCCCCATCTCCTGCTCTGGTTCCATGTAAAGCGTAACGCAAAGATATGCTGATAGGTTAATTGGCTCCTCTTTAAGTTGGCCCTCTATGTAAGCATGTGAGACAGGGACCTTAGATTGTAAGCTCCTTGAGGGCAGGGGCTGATGTGAATGTGCAACTATGTAAAGCGCTGCGGAAATTGTAGGGGCTATACAAATACCTGTAATAAATAAATAAAGTAAAATGTTTTCATTTTTCCACAGCTTTTTTTATACCTTTATAAACAATCACAACCAAAAGTGGTGGATCATCATGAAATGTTCTTGATAGCCACTCTGTTTTATTGTAAGCCATGAAATGAAAGCACATATTTTACTCAGCACCTGCAATATATTTTCCAGCTAAGTGAATATATTTGACCTATCGGCCTTGTGTAGTAAATGTGCCTACAATGGTATGCCCTGAACACAGCAACCACAGTACAGCTGTTATTTTCCCCAGGACAATCTAGAAAATGAAAGGAATATACTGATTGGTGGCCCTGGGGGATACCCTTTCACACTCTTAAGATACAAGATTCCTTGGTTCAATGTATGCAAAATAGCCTTCACAAATACATATGCTCTTACCGGTTTGGAGTGCCTATACTGCTGGGACTTTCTGCTGCAGGTGCAAGTTTGGGAGATGTAGATCCAGGAATTGCTTTTAAGAGGAAGTTTCTGGCTTTGTCCTTTCCAGAGTTACTCTCAGCAGCATTCGGTGTTACATTAACTACTGTAGACCTGCCGGGCCCATTAGACACAGATAATTTAGGAGAATCCCTGCCAGTCTGAGATTGGTTTACTGTTGGCTCGGTAACAGGTCTGGATTGAAAGAACTTCTCACGGGCTTCCTTGTTTTTTGCAGTAGAGGAAAGCCAAGGTTTTGCAGATGTGTTTTCATCCTCTTTTCCCACTGATGACGGCCACCTTTCAGACAGTGAAGAAACTGTTATGACCTGATTATCTGGGGTGCCATATTGTTTGGTTTGCCCACTTTGTCCTGATTCTCTTTGTGACCAGCTGCTCTGTGTTGAAGAATTATCTGATTTTCCTTTTCCAGTCTGTTGTGAATTACCAGAAGGACTAAATATACTTGAAACTGTCCTAACCTGGTTGGTGCTGAAATAGGGAGGTGAGGACTGTTCAGTCCTTCCAGAACTATTGGAAGCATTGGAGTTTGTGTTTGGGCTACCATAAAATCCAACCGCTGTTCTGTTTAAGGGTTCAGGGTTAGATGTATTGACAGAACTAGAATCATTCTTAACACCCGAGTTTGGAAAAATGGACCTAGTCTTATTACCAGGCTCCTGACCTCCATTGTTAGCATTTTTATTATTGCTTACAAAGCCAGCACCAGTCATATTGGTTGGTGTTTGACTTGTGGTGGTTTGCCAAGGTCTGCTAGTAGGAGTGCTGTTGGACTGGTTTGAAGTAGGCGTATTGCCCCTGCCTACTGAGGCTGTTGCTGGGGTGTATGGACCAGACGGGGATGCAGTGACTGTTGCTGTATTTGTGTGAGTGGCAGAATGATGATTTGTGCAGACGAGTGTTCCAGGGTGGTCTCCCAGTTTATAATTTCCAGGCTGGAGTGTCCGCGAACACTGTTTACATCTGGAAAAAAAATAGGCAAGTTCGTTGAATAAACTTTGTTCCACTAGCTTCAAGCTTTGAAAGTTGAATTATGAATTAAAAATTACAGCAAATTGTGTTTACAGGGCAGTGTGTACTGTGACATATATGCTGACAATTACAATTACATAATAGTTTTGAAAGCACCTTAACCGAAATCACAAGCATCAAGGGAGTTGTAAGGTGGCCCTACTTTCTATTTTACTGGCTGTGCATTACCTTCCTAAGTTACATAAAGTGAAGAAGGGGAACGCAGTGCTGTACAGCAGTTATGCTTTACAGCTCCTCTCTCACAGTTTAAGCCCTTGTGAGCAAGGGATTCTGTTCTCAGCAGAACTGCCCAAACAAGTCAATGGGAATACAAAGGCACCCTAAATGAGCTTAGAAAGAAGTCAGAAGCCCTAGTGAAAATACTCATAAGGATCTTAAACTTAAGTCAAATGCAAGCTGAATGAACCTAAAAGCAAACTGAACACACATTCTTAAAATGCCCTTAAGAGGCCCGAAGACATGAGATGTCAGTTGCCCTAAATTATGACTGCAAGAGGCACTGGAACCTGCTGGCAGCCTTAACAAAAAATGTTCCAATTACTAATGTTTCTTCCTGATAAGCCAGATTTATTCTTCTTTTCTTAAATCCCTGTACCCTCCCCAATGACAAAAAACATATGGAGCACTCTGAAAATTGCCTTTGAGGATGATTACATGACAGTGATGACCACTGTTGCATGCCTATGACCAACTAAAATTTTATTTAAAGCCAAACCATTTTTTTACATTTTGGATAGAGTAAGGAAGGGTTACCAACCCTGTCTGATTTGTATTGTTGTCTGTGCCCCCTTTGGGGGAGATTCCCCCCCCCCCCTATTTGTAGTAATGACTATTGTCATGGGTGCTGAAAGTGACAGATTTCCTCTCACTTTGTGATGTGTCTACATAACATATAGTGAAGGGAAATCTCCATAATGGGACAGGCAGGGCACAAAATAAAACCTCACAAGGATTTTAACCCTTCCTTACTATGCCTAAAGTAAAAAATAAATAAACTGGCTTTAGATAAGTGTGGTAAGTGTTCTAATAATCACAAACTTTAAATTTACTAACCCCATCATGTATACCCTAAACCCAAACAAGAAAACCACAGTGGAAAGACATCTAGATCATGCCTTATTCTTAAGACCTACCTGAAGCAGTTTCTGTGGTACAGTTTGCCGTCCGCCATGTGTCTCTGGACCAAGTGTACATGTTTACCACAGATGAGGCAGTTGTTGCTTACTTCACTGTTTACGTTTATTTCCCTGATGCCCTAAAAAAGAGAAAAAAGTTTTTTTGAATTGTAGCACAGAACTCAGAAATGATTGTTTGAAACAGAAAATGCTTGAGTGTTCATAATGCAACACATTGCGAGAGTGTGACTATTCTAACTTGCATAAATGAACAGGAAGAACTTTGCAAGTTGATTATAAAAGACTGACGGATAAACTGTGGCTATGGTACAAGTGGAGTTGTTCATGACCAGCAGCATTGAAGAATTTCGGTGCAGACTTTATGCTTTTCTTAGTAGAAAGGTCTTCTGATCCAAGGAACCAGAACCTACTGGACGCTGGCCTTACACATCACAATGCTGTTGTTTCGATACAATAGTGCTTTCAATTGGAGTCATTTTTATCATTATGTGCCGTCAAGTCAAGAAGGGCCTGTCTTCTATTTGGGTCTTCATGCTTCTAAATTACATAATTTCTATGACTGTATACAGCAACCTTATTGCTGGTCATCCTATCCTTCTTTTCTTTCACCATTTCTAACGATAATTGTCTTTCCCAGCGAGTTGGTTCTTCTAATATTTTCAGTGTAAGAGCACTTTAGTCATCAGGGCTTCTAGTGAAAGGTTGAGCTTGATTTGTTGACAAAACCATTTGTTAGTTTTCCTTGCTGTCTTACAATTCTTCAATCCACACCAAAGTTTTTCCTATCTTGCTTCTTCCTGGTCCAGCTTCAACATCCATAGAGAGTGACAGTAAATACCACAGCCTTGCCAATTCTGCTCTGACAAATCAGGATCTTTTAGGCCTTTTATCTTTTTCTTCCAAGTGGAAGTGTTGTATTTCTTGCCTGCTGGATCCATTGTTGTTAATTGATCCAAAGATGCAGTAGATGTCTACTACTTCTATACAGTAACTTCACCATCATCTCATAAGTTAGCAATCCTCCATCACACTTTCTTGATATTTAACTGGAGAACAATTTTTCACTTTGTTCATTTGTTGTTGTTTTTTTGAGCCACTCGAGCTCTTCTACCTTTTCAGCTATAAGAACAGCATCAGCAGCATATAAAAAATGGTTGTTTCTTCCACCAATCTTGAATACAGATATAATGATTATTGCAAGAGCATTTAGCCATGCCTAACGCCTTTGCTGATCAAGAAACAGTCTTCTGTAGATGATCATATCTTCCCAAAATGAAATGATCATTTCATTCTTGGATCATTTTCATCATAAAGGCAGAATCCGTCCAAGTTCAGCCAAATTGATCTTTTCTTTGTTGTGTTGCACAATTGAAACAATGGATTCTGTGATCGGTCATATGTTTATTGTTACCTGTATACCTGGAATACTAAGGCAAAGATATTCCTAAGAAGCATAGTGCTACTATCATATCAGGAAAAAAAAATACAGTGTTAATCATGATAACACAAAATGGCTGCTAATAAACAGGGTGCCCCAAAAAGTTAATTTTTCTTAAAGGTTTTCTGCTACATTTTCTCTATAGTCTCTATTATCCTAAATCAAATTAATGCATCAATAATGCAGAAACTTTAGCGTTTGAGTGATAGCCATTATTGGCTAACTTAAGTTACTAAAGATACAGGATGCACAGATCCCGGTTTTTTGGTATCGAGTACCGATATTTTTTCTTCGGTACTCGCCAATACCGAGTACTGCTGCCATGTGCCCAGATTATCAGTAAGTTGGGCAGCAGGCCATGACCTGCCTCCCGGCTTTCTGATTGGCTAGGAAGCCGGCGTCCCTTGTTGCTAGGTAGCGTGGCTTCCTGGCCAATTAGGAAGTTGAGATGCGAGCCATGGCGTGCCGCCCGGCTTCCTGATTGGTTAGGAAGCAAGGCTGCTTACCAACAATTGAATCTGGCTTCCTAGCCAATCAGGAAGTCGGGCGGCACGTCATGACCTGGCTCCCGGCTTCCTGATTGGCTAGGAAGCTAGATTAAACTGTTCCTAGGCAGCCTGGCTTCCTAACCATTCAGGAAGCCAAAAGGCAGGTCATATAACACCACCCGGCTTCCTAATTGGAAAGGAAGCCGACTCCATGCTCCTTCCGCGCTTGCGGTCAGAGGGAGATCTCCCTCTGACCTTAGGGCCGGCTTCCTAGGCAATTAGGAAGCTGGGAGTCAGGTCATGACGTGCCACACGGCTTCCTGATTGGCTTCAGAGGGAGATCTCCCTCTGACCGGAAGTTGTGGTATCGGAGCAGTTGGGCAAGTACGAGTACCCGCCCAAATACTCGGTATTGGCACCAATACCGATACTAGTGTCGGTGCATCCCTATTAAAGATGCAAGCTTTCAAGATGCCTTATATCCCTTAAAGCCTTATTCTAAAAAGATAAACCTATTTGTAACAAATGCATATTCTGTGTTTGTCAAATTTGTATACAGGTGGGTAACAGATTATACTAATATGTGCATATGCACAAGTAATCGTTCATTGTTAAACCTTTCTATTTAAAAAAATCTATATAAAGAATGTATTTAAAAAATAAACAGGATGTCTGCAGTAGTATTGCAAACCTGCATCATATGCTGAATGTCTCACTAAGAAATGGATATTAAGGAATATGCTATGCTTACAGATCTGACTGGAGGGTTTTCAGTGACTGCTGTCATGGGTCGCTGTGCTGCGGGTTGTAGGCCACTAGGAACGTGATTGGTTATCTTCTTTCCTGCTGGCTCTTCAGTGGTTTCTGGTGGAGGACGTTTCACAGCCCCTATGCCTCCAACTGGAAGAGAAGATCAATTAAGTTAAAACACTGGAAAGCAAAAAAACAAAATAATTTCATGATATCCTGTCACCAACTTCACAAAAGCACAGAAAAATCAAGTTTAAAAAAAACAAAAACTGACTTGCAATGTTTTTCCTTTCCATATTTGTTTTATTTACAATGCAATGTGCCTTTGAACTTGCTAGAAATTTTGACTACCCCATGAGAGTCAATTCCGGAGCACAGCCTTCTTTCTCCTCACCCTATCCTCTTTTGGGAGAGTCAAATTACCGTACTCTCTATTTTGACCCAGCATCCTGACCCCTCCCCTTCTTACATAACCTTTTATCTAATTGCTAGGGGAAGAGCAAAAGGGAATACTATAGAGTAGGGGTAGGCCAGGGTCAGACTACATTTTCACTATAGTTAGGGAGGATGAACATAAGAGCTATGAGTGCGAGTCACACTTTCATACATTTTTGAAAAACTTTTGAAAAACTTTCCCCAGGCTGCTTTGATAGTAGTTTTGTTCTTGATATGTCCTTGGTTATAAACTTCATTTAATCTCTTGTGAATACTTTACCTTATTAAAAAAAGTACCTATAGTTCTAATTGTGAATGCAATGTGCCCTTCTTTCCTCTAGCGGAGTATATAAGTCACTTATTTATGTCATGCTAGCCAGTGATCCATTAACAAAAGATAATTAAAATCAAACCACGAAGGTGTGTACTCTACAGTCTCATTAGAACATACCGTTTTTACAGCTCAGCAACATCAATGTTGTTTTATTACCCAACGGACAATTGGACAAAAAGGGACAAATTAAAAACCAAAGGGTTTTCAGACTTATTCCAACAGACATCCGTCCTAACAAGACTATGTTCATTCTTCCCCTGTGGCACGTTTAAGCCCGAAATCCAGCCAAGTTCTGTTTAAATAGTGCTTGTATTTATTGAGGAAATATTTGACTTCCGAGAAACACACACCTTAATCCAGGGCACAAATTAGTCAGAAATCTCAAGCAAACAAATAAAAAGCCAACGGGAAAACAAGGGAGAGGAGGAAGAAAGACTATCAGTGAAATACTGCAATACTTTTTCAAGTGAAGGAGTAGCAAGAAGACACATGGGCCAACACTTCATGGACCATTATTGTTCAGTGGTAATGCCAAAGAAAGCAACAAGGCCATCTTAACTTTAACCAGTGTTGAAGATAAAAACTTAACCTGCGGACACACTAAGTGAACTGCAGACACCCAGAAGTACATTCTGTGGTCTACCCAAGTTTTCCAGATGCCCCTGATGGCAGCTCATCCAAGTTCATTGTCCTGCCATGCCTCCTCTTGCATCCCTCAATGATCACATTGGAAGAAGCGGTAGGGGCATGTCAGAAGCCTGACTTCCTATCTGAAAGTCATAATCTTGCTATTGAACACCTCAGATTTGGGGGCTCTATGAGCACCCAGGACGAAGATAAAGGGGTATGTATAAACATCCAACAAAGTCAGCTTCTGATCAGTTTCAAAAATGCGAAAGGTGACAAGGGCAGAGCAATATACAAAATAATGCAAATGTTCCTCAGCACACTTCCAAGCCATTAGGTAACTTGTTTCAATAACTCAGGTTAAAAACAGAGCTTGTTGTTGCATACATTTGCAAAAACATGTGGAAATCACACTGCCTTATCAAGGCACCTCTAAAAAAAGTTTGGTCCCTATTTTAAAACTATCTAAGTTTAAACTATGGAACATATAGAGGGGTAGGTGCAGAAACCACCCACAACCTGCTTTTCACTGAATGCCTTTGATTGACATTTAATTGTATCTTCAGCTCTTAGTAGTTGCTACAAAAAAAAGAGTTGTGACTTATTGCCAACATATTCAAAAACACTGCATAGGCCCCAACTGACCATTATTGTCAATAAAACAATGTTTAACTTTCCTTAACCAGTAGTCTCCAAAGTCTCCAAACAATGGAAACCAACTATGGCGTCTAGGTACAAATCCTTTACAGATCTGATGGAAGTGAACAGCTGCTGAACCGGTAAACCGGTCCCCTATTTTTAAAGTGTACCTAAACCCAATAAAATATTATATATTGCAACTTTGCAGCTTTCTAGTCCTTAGATTTAGTGGTTGAATTGGATTTTTTTCAGACCAAGTACATTTTCTGGAAGTGTAGAAGAAATACCTCTTGATCCTGCCAGAAAATGTGTCCTTGTAACTTTCTTTGTACCTAATTTGCAACAGGGATACAGTCAGATAAAAAAAAATCTGACAGGAAGTCTAGCCTTCCCCTACTTTACTAAATAATATATAAACTATTTCTGCTGTGATGCTGTTGGAAAGTTCCCTGTCTTCCTGTCTGATAAAACATTGTCAGCAGGCAGGGGCGTAACTAGAAATCACAGGGCCCCATAGCAAAATGTTGTATGGGGCCCTGTGATTTCTACTTACACCCCTTGAAGAGCCCACATAGCTCACCTGAGGGTGACCCTGCAGGGCCACCCTCAAGTGGGCTGGTCACACTCCTTACCTGTCCGCCTCTTCTTCCTCCGTCTTCCCTCCTCCGTCGCCGGGCCCACTCCATCCTCCATCGCCGGGCCCGCATCCTTCTCTGATGCTGACCCCCCGGCCCCGCCTCCTTCTCCCCGCCACGTCCAGCCTCCTCCACCGCCGCTGACTCTCATTGACTCAGCAGCGGCAATGGAGAAGAACGCAGCGCTGCACAGATCACGGTGATCTGAACAGCGGTGCGTTCGAACCCATAGCGACCCAGGCGGCCCGCACGGCATCAGGGGGGTGTCCTGGCCTGGGCCCCATAGCGGCCGCCTGGGTCGCTATGGATATTGTTACGCCACTTTCAGCAGGGCAGGAAGTAAGGGGAAATCTTTTTAACAGAGTCCATTAAAATGTGACAAGGGTTCTAACCCTTCCCCCTTTAAACCAAAAAAATAGTTTTGCCTTGACATACACTTTAAGCATAAACATTACAAACCCTAGCGCGTACAATGACCCATTCACATCAATCCCTGTGCCATGAAAGATTAAAATGTAGTCTCTCACCCAGTCAAACAAATACACACCTTGGCTACATGGCAGAAATCAATTAACCTTTAATGAAGACCAGAAATGGGTCCAAGCAAGAGCCAGAAAAAGATCAGTGACCAAGTACAGAAAAGGACCAAAAAAATCGAAGCTGGCCCATCATTTGGTTTTTAGGCCATTATAAAAAAAACACCAAGATATAGATCTACACTTGTGTGTACAGTAGTTTGTATAAGCAGGCATCCAGTTGTATAAAACCAAACCCATCTATAGCTTAGTTATATTTAAAAAATATATATACTTATACTGTTTTATAAAGTAGCACAAGTTCTGTCAATCTTGTGGGCTGTTCAAGAAGTCTAAACATTAAGCAAAATCAGTCTATGGATAGTTCTATCCAGCAAGCACCAAAACCATGCTAACCCGTATCCAAGTAAAGTTTAACATTGTTTACCCAAGCCTAGGTTTTATATAATCCATGCAGAGAGGTTCTGGAGACTTTTCAGAATACTGTAGGGTGGGCCTGCAGTCTGTTCAGATAGTTCATGGTTGTGCAACCTCTCTCTCTATATTAGACCTACAGATGTAAGAGCCTGAGGAAACCCTTGTTTGCATTTTCTGAAAACTGCTGTAGGATTGGGTCTGGCCACTTCTCCCAGGTCATGGCTTTCGCCGGTACAGGGATACTATAAGCAGAACAAGACACAACCTATTTGCCTAGTTAACTACAGAGTAGTTAGAGGTCTGCATGTTGGTGGTAAAAGGAACTGATGATGGCGGTTGCGACTCTGGCTACCGCAAAGGCAACAGGAAGTTGAGTGTCACCCTTTCCAAACTCCAGCTGCAATTCTACTCAAGAACGTCTGAGTCCAGGAACACGTGATTGAGTCTCACAGAGTGGTCAGCTGACTAACCCAAGTGGAGCAGTTCAGCTTCAGACTCCAAATGTGTTTTGTAAAATGTTGATATATGCTGTTCAAGCTGATATTAATTGAATCATTAAGTCTTGTGTAACATTTTTCCAGTTATAAGACTATTAAAAGTGTCATGCACATTCTTGCTTTAGAAATCAATCTGTCTGAATATGACCTTCAGGGCCTTTTAGAAAATAAAGAAGCAAGCTGCTACTGGGGCTTTGTGAGCAGGGCAGCCAACTATCCAAGATGAATGTCAGTATGAAAATAACACTGTTCTGCAGGTAGGCTGTGTTTACAAAGGTATTTTAAATGACAAATATTCATACTTGTCTAAGGTAAAAATGTAATCTACTGCTATGTTTTGGAGTGTGGGCCATACCAATTCCATATAAACATTGCACTGCCTAGCAAGGCATTCAGGGTCCCATGGCTGTAAGACACCAAACTTAAAAGGTGAACTATGAGGGGGGTGATTTACACTTATCCTCATAGTTAGAGCCGACCTGTGACAAAGATGCTGTCACAGGTCGGGTCTATTGATTGGGAAGTGAGCAGAAACATGCACGGATCTGCTCACTTCCCAATCGTCTCCCTGCAGTGAGCAGTGACTGACAGTCACCGCTTCCCACAGGAATTCCTCCCTCCGATCCTCCAGCGCTGAGTGGAGGGACGAACGGGGGAGGGCACAGCTGACTCTGCCTCTAGATAGGCAGAGCCAGCTGTCACTCACGCAGCTGGGCGGATCACGACAGTATTGTCAGCATCCGTCCCGGCTGTGGCGGTCTCTGTATATCGCGGGCAATAGCTCGCTATATACTGAGCTTTGGGTCACAGGAGGAGGTTAGTATATGTCCTCCAGTGACCATAAAGAAAACTATGGGGAAGAACGCTTATCCCATAGTTCTCTTTTAAGCGCAGCTTTACTGATCATTATTTACACTGCTACAAAAGTGGCTGAATCAATCTATAAAGCCAACATGACAACTGATCAGTCTGGCACACCTTGCTTGCTTGATTACTGCATGAGTCAGTGAGGGCAAATTCCTTTTATATT